GCCGGTAATGGCTGCGGCTCCACGGGGGCTGAAGATGGTATGGGTGGCAGTGGATGGAAGCGTGCGAAGGAGAGCGCAGGTAGAGGCGGCGGCGACAGCGCAGCGAAATTCCTTACCTCGCCAGTGGGCAGGAGGGAGCGGCGTACGCCGAGGCGGACCAAGTTGCCACCCGCCCGGATTATCTCCACTACACGATGATACGACATTCCCACCGTCATGAAACCATTGATCTGCAGCAACTCGTCACCTACCTAGGATACCGATGAACAAGTTGCCTACTTCACCGTCGTATACAGTCCGAATCACCTATTGCAGGGCAAATTTGCCATTATTCGTCCCACAAGAAGAAAGATCGGTTCAACAGTAATGAGGGGGAAATCAGTGCACTCTGGCAAAAACGTGTGCCACTCTCGTATTATGCTTTCTCTCGTCTTCAAGGAAGTTTCAATGCGCTGTATTGCTCAACTACACTTATTTCAATTTCTAAATGCGAAACCTTGATATGACGGAAGAAAGGCATTCACCGCGAATGGGAGAATCGGTAACAGCCTCCAACAGAAGGACTCAAAATGACGTCAATCTTCGACAACTACTTCAATTCCGTCTTCTGAAAGATTGGTACTGATAACCTTAGCGGCACTAGCGGTAGCCGTCAACCATCTGGAAGAGCTCGTTACGGAGCTGTCTACGGTACCCACGTAAAGGTGTCAATCAAGTAAACACGGCATGCCTCCACCTCTCCACTAGCTGAACAGGACGTGGACAGGTATATGGCTGGGCAACACTGAAGTGAGAACCACGTGGCAAGGAGGAAGAGACGCGAAACTTTATCTCCACACAAGTAATTTATAATTCCCCTTCCTCCAATACTGTTCCCAAACAGGGCAAAACATCAGATGCAGTGGATTTGTCAAAAGGGATCACTGACGTTGTGGTCAAATATCTTCTCAGTTACAAGCCATTTCCATGATTGGCACGGTTGGTTCTTGGGTGCCTTTCTTACAACACCGACTACGTTGTGATGGCCGATACAGGAGATTGACCGAGGGGAGCACCGACGACGACGCTCAAAGGGAGAGAGTGGGCTATGTAATATTACGATCCTTTGATCACTTCTTCTTTTTGGCCTCCTGGCCACGCCAGTAGCCTTCCAGTCCTTATATGCGTCAATAATACATCTTCGGAAAATAGTCGAGACGTTGAAATACAATTCCCATTACATCAGTTTTGAATTTGGTCA